TTCAGTAACTTGTCTCATATCCTTGCTTCATATTCACTGTCCATCCTCTTAAATATATAAATCATTCCTTGCATATTTCTCTGCGAACAAAATATGTACACGCATGCTTGTGGCAGATGATTTAAGATATTAATATTCCATAATAGACAGGCGGATCTCTCTCCTCAGGCAATATATAAAAAATATATTGAAATAATACCCCTCAAAAATTTTGCATCTCAGGTTTATAACTTTTTGTGCTTTGGCGTCATAACAGAGATATGAAATACTTTATATCGTGGATTGAGTTGATTTATTGTATACCATTCGCTCTTTTTGTATAAATTTACATATATGTATTTCAACCATTTTAGCTCAGTGACAGGTGTTCTTAAAGTACGACACTATGCGAGGCTTGAGTAGACGATGGGGATATTATGCACGGGAACGTTATCTTCAGACACATTACAGCTCTGGCTATAACCTGGGATACATTTGACATTTAGTATTTTTAGGATTTTTAAACTTTATATTATGCTGCATCTAGCATACAAGTAACAATCTTAAGACGCTTATGTTTAGAGTAATATATGTGCCCAATTGAATATATATTCATATAATTTTATACAAGTACATATCAAATTTAATCAGGATCAATTTGGTCCATTCAAAATATTTGTACACTCATGTAATCTTCAAATCATTATAACAATGGATATGAATAAAATCATGTAATCTGTAAATAATTATAACAATGGTTCTTGGTGTAATGGTAAAGCTCACGGACTCGTGAGTTTGAACCCCGCCCTGGGCAATCTGACTTCATGGAGTAGCGATGTCCTTTTTTAATTGAAAATTTAGATCAAAAATATTTTTCTAATTGAAAAAATTTCTAATTTCGGGCACGGCGGTGCGGCATGGCGATGGAAAATCTCTTCCCTGAATTGAATTGGAGTTGAAGTCAGTTTACAGATCTGCACTAGAGCAGTAATACCCATTATTATTACTATTATTTTTTTATGAATGTATTTTTTCACTTCGTCATATGTGTTTTACGAGAAATTAATGGTAGAATATGTGATCTGAATAGTTGTAAAACAAACTGAATTTTAAAAATAAACATTTGGTTTATCTAAGGCGCATTATTGAGAATTTTATAAAAAATATAAAATATTGCATAATTGAAAATATTCATTGAATGATTCATAAAATTTTAGAATCAGTATTAATCATTTCCATTTTTATTGCAAAAAAAATTCAGTTTATTAATTTTAGTTAAAACAAGCTTCTCAATTTTATAATTTATTACGCAGTATGAACTCTTTATTTATTTTCCTGCGGATTAAAATTTTGAAATAGTTTGTGAATTTATTGTATATATTTATAGTTATTGAAAAGAACAGTTATTGCTCGTAAGCATATTAATAATTAAACTTTTTAAAACTAGTTGTAGGTCACATTTTGCACAGGCAAGTTTCAGAAGGTTCCCGGTAGTGTGAATATTCAATTTGTCAATAATAATTTCAATTTAACTATTTAGATAAACCATTACAACTGTTTTTTCAGAAATAAGTGTTTTGATTTCACTAAAAATTAATCAACGGTATCTATTCAAGTCAATTTATATCTTTCTATGAAAACTATATAATATGTATAATTGTACTAATTACATTGCCCAAACACGTTTTTGTATATCCGTCGTCATTCTTGAATCGTCTTGAATCGTCATTCTTAATTAAATTAAAAATATTTCTGATTTTAGTATATTATTCTTGAATGATTTGTCAAATCTTTAGTAAATTAATTTTATAACCCTTAAATTGAATATCAGAATTTAATTATTTTTATAAAATGAAAATGCTTTAAAATAAATATTTGAATCTGAAAATTCTTGTCCACTTAACTCAAAAACACTTCTGTTTTATGAAGTTACAACTAATAAATAATAGTAAATAATTTCATGAAGAGAAAATAATTTAAGAAATAAGAATATTAGAGAGTGCTATTGTTGATCCCGAATAATGTGCAGAATTTATTTTGGGAAAAACAAATGTTATTTTTATTTATTTTGTGCATTATATGGAATACCTAAATTAATATGTTTAATTTCATAATCCAAAAATTGAAATATTTTCTTGAATTCTTGATACATATATCTAATATTGCATATGCTCAAATAACGAGCATATAACGTTTTAACACGTATTTTATTACATACTGTTTCTTTGAATGTTATGATCGTGACTGTGTTTTATAACTGGGAAAGTAATAAAGATATACTTGAGAGACACGAATAAGCAATAAAACCAAGCATCACTTAATTTTCCAATTATTGAGAAAAGCTGAGATACTTCTTAATAAGAACGTCTTCTGAGTTCCTTAGGAACAGCATTAATTCCCTATCGTCTCTTGAAAAAAGAGTTCCAGATAAAACTCTGCCTGTACAAATAGTTCCAATTAAATGCAAAATATCTCAATTGGGTATCTTTTTCTCTCGTCTAGGAAGTTTTCTACGAACGAGTGTTTGAGATGTGTAATATCAAAAGGCAGAATTCTATTGGAAATTTCTATCGTGGATTTTGTGAAAAAAAACGAGTTAATAAGAAAAGAGTAGTCGGGTGAATGTATTTATATTTGTAAAAATTTAATGAATGTTAGATGCTTGTTAACTTCAATTAAGGTAAGGTATTGTAATCGTCCAAAAATTAAAAATGAAATTTATTGCATATTATCAGAAGAATTTAGGTATACCTTAGTAAGAATTGATGTGCGCGAATGTATGCAATAGTTTTCATAAAATAAAATGTAACACATATATTTATTATTTTTTTTATTTTAATTTTTTTTTATACAGAAATGTGGTTTAGTGAAAATCGAGTTGAAATAGATTTTATTTTATATTAGTTGTTTGTGCAACTATATACAGAATATATAGTATTTAATTCATATAGAATAATTCATATAGAATTTATTTATTAACTTTCCGGATATGTTTGTTTTCATAAAAAAGTCCGATTTGTCATTTTATGTCTTCTCGACATTTTAAGCATTTGAGATCAAATTTGAAAAAAGTTTTGACCTATCATCGATCTTTTCTTGAAAACCGCTGGGTCGATTTAAAAAATTTAAAAGCTGTTTGATATATCACGATGCATTGTTACGACAATGAGCAGAGCCGTTACTTAGTAAATAACAGAAATGTTAAAAAAAAATCACCCACATTTTAGCCAGAAATTCTGAATCGATTGTATAAATTCAAAAACGATTCGGAGAATATTATTTGGCAGTCGTGCTGATTAATTTTGGCAAAGCCAAAAAATTCTGATGATTTTTTTTTATTTTGATAGATATCATGGTTCTAAAGAACATGCTGAAATTTGACGGCCCAACGACAAGTAGTTTAATTTTAAAAACTCGTCAAAGTTTCAAAAAATATTATAGTCAAAAGTTGTGAGATATGATAAGTCAAACATTATCAATTCATTAAAATTTTGAATAATAATCTACAATTTTAGCACATATAATCGTGTCTTGGCAATATAATTAATATAATTAAATTTGAAATTTAAATGCGTTAAATTTAGTCTAAATATCTAAATCTCAATTTTAGTTGAAGTCAAACATTCATGCAACTTTCAACTAGTTTTAATTGCTATTTATTGTCAGATTCTTATTATAGCTTTATGATGGTGTATGATTTCCTTGGGCTAATATTAACTTTTTTATAAACACTTTCAGTCTTTCTCATGTTTTTTGGAATATTTAACTCTCTTTTAATCACAAACATGAAAAAAAATATAGTTAAGCTATATTTTATAAACGAACCGCCTCCTTTCATAGAATTTTTTTTTTCCTAGCGACATCTACTTTTTAATTGAGCCCTATTTCTTCTCTTTCCTATTTGATATTGCGTGATTATCACTTGACCTTGAATAGAGAACTCAGACTCCGACGATCGTTGGTGGGGCAGTATAGTGAACGACTTGTAAGGGATAACACATAATGCTAATTTAGGTTTCCATATTTTAGATTTTAAATTATAACACACTGATGATGAGACGAACCTAGACTCGAAACGTTTGTAAAAATATTATTTAATAAGTTAGTGCAAAAAGATGTTGTATGTTCATATTTCTACTTTTATATATATATATATATATATATATATATATATATATAAAGTATGTATATATATATATATATATAGGTATACGAATTAATTACACTGTGGATTCTCTGAAACCGCCTCTTGTTGCCATTATGCATGACATCTTAATGGAGATCATTCCTGTTCAAACTTTTAGGTAGCTGGATACAAACTGCAGAGAAACTTGTAATATATGCGCATGAATAAAATGATTTTATTATGAGACCTTAATAGGAAAACATAAAACGAATTTATTTAATATATTAAGACACATATTAGTAAAATAAATAATTAAGATATAAATAATATGTTTTTATATATTTATTTTTAGTTAAGGTATAATAGTTGTGTGACAGAACAATTAATAACCTCTTAGAAACTTCTTGATAGTTTTTCAGGCAATATATTTGAAATAGGGCTTATAATTTTGGAAAACGTGTTTTTTTCATTCTTCAAAATCTACTAATCAAAATTATTAAAATAAACTAATCTAATTCAATTGTTGATTTTTATCATTGTGCATAATACATGATAAAACTAAATCTAAAATATTTCGTTTAAATTGACATTGGAATACCTTACAAAACTTGAGGATTATAATAATGTGTTATTGATATACATACAAACAGACATTTATAAAATTCAGTTTCAAAATTATTTTAATATTAAGCAGTATATTCAATTAATTGTTGCTTCATATACTTTAACAATATTTTTGTCACAATTTGGAATTTATTTAAATCATTAAATATATTATTCTTATGATTATGTGATTCTACACATTTATTACATTGCTATTAAAGTTACTCAATTATCAAAATTATATATTTGAACACTTTTCTAAAGATTAAGCCTAAATTTGTTACTACACCTATTACATGTCCAACTTTACTATCAAATCGCTCTGGAAACTGATATAGTCTTCCTTGACCTCTTCATCATTTATTGGCAATCCTTTCAAATGTTCATTTTGTAATATAAAGTCTCTTAAAACTTCTTTTTCCTCTGCCTGTTTAGCTTTTTTAAGATCTTTCGCACGTTTCTTGTTTCGTTGTTTACGCTGATTTTTAAGTTTTTGACCTACAATGCTTGAGTTCTTTCTATACACATTTTGCTGAACATTGTCTTCAAATTTAACTGATTTCTTGTTTTCAGTGTCTTCTTCTATTATTAAAGAATTTGAATCATGAATTGTTAAATCTTCACTATTTGCAGATGATTTTAAAATTCCTCTGGGAACATCAGATAAAATATCAGAATCGTTATAAAATCTATTAATTTGACAGTGTCCGACCAAATTGTGATTATTAGTTGTTTCTTCGTGGCGTTCTTTGACAGCAACTGATAAATTATTTCTACTCTGCGCATTTTCTAAAGCAACATCATTTGATGAATCACTTGAAGAAGAATCATCTTTTTCATTTACGTTCATCATTTCTTCTGTTGTTTTTTCTGCATCAGAGTCATCTGAGTCATTTTCATATTCCTTGCTACCTTCGTTATCAGGCATCGGATACACTTCCAAATACTGACTGTTTACACCAGCTTCAAACTCACTAGGAATATTTTTATCATCTAAAGTAAGCTGAACATTTATATTGTTACACCATATACTAGTTTCAAACTCGACGATGTTGCAATTAATTTTTATACATAAACCATAATTTACAGTAAAATAACCAGATCCTACCGAAGCGCATTTTATTTTAAACAAGTCTTCATCTTCCCTGGATACTAAACTATCAGGCAAGATATTTTTAACGTCCATGATTAGAATAAGAATATTCTCAGATCTATGGCTTTCAAACTTTGGTAGTTCGTATATAATGTCGTCGTGGAAGAATGGGAGATTTTCATTGACTTCTGATTGAACGATTACATTTTCCGATAATTCAGAATTTATTGTCTCGTTTAGCACAACTATTTTACTGTTTTCACTATTATTTTCTTCGCTTTCTGGAATTTCTGGATCACTATCCACACCGCTGTCAACATGTTCCGGCAAATCCATAAAATCTTCATTTTGTTGAATCTGCGGAGACGCATTGTAAACGTCTCTTCTAACGGGCAATGTTATTACCAATCGTTGTTTATCCTTCTCAAATTTTGCAACACCTTCATCTGCATTTACCGGATACGGTAATGTCAAGTTCAACTTATATTTTGAAGGTTTCTCACAAAGCAATGCAATAGTTTTTTCTGTAACATCCAAATCCATACCATTAGCAGATTTGAGCATTGGTAGTTGTATTTCTACTATAATATGCGATGGAACTGTGATTAATAATTTTGCATTCATATTTTCCGTATAGTCCTGCATGTCTATACCATGTCTATGTTTAATACAATATTTAGGAATTGTGTACGGCGAGTCATCTGGTTTGGACAGTTTAACACACGGCGACTCTGGTATAACTTTTGGTGGTGCCTTTTTGGCTTTTGGATATATTTGATCATAATATTCAATATCTTTTGGATCTGGTTTTACACCTGGAAGATCTTTTCTAATAACTGTGGGCATAGCCATTCCTTTATATTTGCCCTTGACTAATTTTAAGTTTTTTCTATCCAATTGAACTTGAAATTGTTTTTCAATACCATCGCAAGCGGTGTCGTTCAATAGCTGTTTAAATTTTGGATTTTTTGATGCGTAGTCAAGAGCAGTTGGATGAAAAACTACATCGTATATTGTTATTATTTTATATTTTTTATCGTAATCTTCTTTCGCTTCTGAAAGACTGTAAGGGATACTCCAAGACACACCAGATTTATTGTTTTCTTGCGCGAGTTCATATCGTGGCACTTTCATTAAATCATTATAACAAATGTTTATAAAAGCTCTTTTTTCTCCAGCTATACAGGTTTTGAGTACATAACCAGGTTGAGGATGAACAAATTTTATATCAACTCCTCGATCTCTCTCTAATTGTGTTAATTCTTTTTCGTAAATTTTCTTGTTTTCAGGATCAGATATTTCTTTAATATATTCACCAAATAATTCACGAAACTTTTCATTTTTTAATGACTCACCGATTTTGTCCAATTCTTCGCGGGTTATGTCCAGATCTTCAAGACGTGATGATCGCTGCATTTTATTATTTTTTAGAATATTTTAGAGAAACCACACACTTTTGTTATCACTTGAACAGAAATTTTATTATTGATGTACACTTTACCGTATGTTTATTTTGTTGCCAGGTTACGGCTGACTCAATCGGACTCAATGTGCTACTGCGCACTAATCAGCAAAGGGCGAAATATAACTTTTTCATTTGTACGTGTACAGTTTTATTTATGTTATGTCAAAAATGTATTTTGTTCAAAGTTTAATATGATATCATTTTGTTTTGAGAGAGTGTAATAATATTACTATAATAACTTTACATATCAAATATCAATAAAAATACCAATATCAAATATCAAATACCAATAAAAACAAAAAGAAATGATTATAATTTTTTAAGTTCATCCGACAAAACTGAGTGTTTTGACATTCTTATATTTTTGTATTTTATTTTACTACTAGGCCACAAACACTTTTGGGCAAAGAATAATTGTAAATGAAATAGAGTGCGTCAATTAAAAGCCTCGTCTATTGAACTTGAAGTAGAAAACACAAAGTACAAAGTGATCATACATGTGATTAATAGTGCGATTTTTGATCATATAACTTTTTAAGATTTGATCAACATGTATATATAAAATAAATTAGTTTTTTGAAACACTTCCATAGTAGCAAAATGTCGACTATTCAGAGGGATTTCAACCTTATTTATACCAAGGTTTAATTAATAAGTATATGGAAAATAAACTCGTATTTTGAAATACTTCCATAAAAGCGATTAATTGACGATTTAGAGCGATTTCGATCCCTCTCTCTTCTCTCTCTTTTTATGAATGGCTCACGCAAAAATCTCACTCAAAAATTTAAGGAAAAACAAGATTAGTAAACTCGCCTATAAATAATGATTATAGGTATAGATAATGTTTTATCAATTATACAAAATTTCAACATTTTATTTATAGCATATTTATTTGAAGACATAGTTATTATATTAAATAATATTAATCTTTTATTGAAGATTTTAGTAACTTATCGAAATAAAAAATTGTTATAATTTAAACTATAAACACTACAATGCGTGATCTATAACATATCAATCAAAATATCAGCATCTTATTTTAGTTTCTAATGTATCAAAAATATGTTTCGTTGTTAAAAATTAATCATCATAAAAATCACTTAGCTGTATATATGTAAAATCGTTAAGGATACATATAGCCGCAATATCAATAATGACTTATATGCATTGGTTTATTCAACGATTTTTCTTTATGATTCAAGTTTGAATGCAAATCAGAATTGAAATACAACGCAAATAATGTAAATTTATATTCAATGGGAATATATTATGTTAACGCGGATGAAAATATATTAGGTAGATAACGAGCTCGTGTATATAATTGAGTAGGTAGTCTGGAAGTAGTTTGAAGTAGCAAAAGAAATATACTCCTTTTTTCGTACTGACTCGCTTTTTAGCATATTCTCCATTCATGATAGTCTTAATCGGGACTTAAACATGCAAAGCCTTGCGATCATTATTTATAATATGTTCGAGATGATATCATGAAAGTATGTACGTTCTGATTGAGCTTGTAACGGTAATATAAAGTCAATTTCTGCTTAGAAATGATAATTAATCTCGATAGTAAGTCTTGGAAAAAAAAGTATATGAAGACGTTAAGCTCGCATAAGACAAAAAAATAATTAATCTCGTAAGTATAGGCATACTTTTATTTTTTATTCCCGCGAAGAGCTAATCAAAAGACTGTAATTAATACATTTTTTTTATCGAATGTATACTGAACGTGGTCACTTTGAAGCAAGTTTCAAGTTCTATGGTTCTATGTATTTTGTATATTTGCCTACTTGAATCTTAAAACATATAAACAAATCTATTATTGTACATATGCAACATAGTTTAACAAAAAGCTTTTTATTTTTTATATTGTATTTTAAAATTATCAACTTGAATATTAATATTGTTGTTATTATCTACACAAAATGTGTTTTGATAATAAATGTATTTGATTAATTTGATTAATAACTTCCCTTTCTTTTATATATCTTTACGATTCATAGCTTTTTGTTGTGTGCGTGTGTATGTGTGTTCAGATACTTCGTCGACGATTACGGGAATACAAATTATTAGAGAAATGAAGTAATTGTTGCTTAATAAATTCTTTAACAAATATTGTTTTACTTAAACAAATATTGGTTTTGCAACTTCACTCATCATGTAATTAAAATTAACATACATTCATTGACCGCTTGTATTTTTTTTACTTTTTCGCTGGCGATAGAATCTCATTCTTTGAACAGCTGTAATATCTGTCTTGCCTAAAAATATTTTCCATTTTAATAACTTCAAAGATTTATAGAAACTACGAATATTAAACTTACGTTTAATTGATTTTTTTATTGTTAATTTGTTTTATTATTTTCAAGGAACAGGGTAAAATATTCTTCTGATTCAGGCATATTTCATAAATCAAGATTCGTACTACGATGTAACTTCAAATGTTTATTTATCTATGTCGATTTCCTGTTGATATTGGTACACTTACAACGTTGACGCCGGTACGCATTCAACGACAGATCTGTGTTTATACGCAACGACTAATCACAATCGGCCCGTATAAAAATGATATCATCGAGAGCGAATGACGAATCATTGGCACTCGACTCTTATCTTATCGACTCTTATCTGCCGAAACGCACTTCCGTTGCATTTGTACGGATTTACACCCTAGTCGCGCCTAAAGAAGTTTTACTTCAAAACAATTTGATTCGTTCAAATCATTCATTGATTTTATTGTATGCGCAATATTTGTAAGATACAAAAATAGTTCGTTCCACATTATGTTCTATATATTTGATAAGTCAAAAGTCATATATGCGGATTTGAAAATATACTGAGCAATATGTAATTATAGGTATTCGATTGCTTTTCGGTTCTTGCATGTCGGCTTCAACGTAAAAGACTTGCGTGCAGGACTATATCTGTTCTTAGCAACATGCATACGTTTGGCCTACATCGAATGGGTTCATTTTGATCAATTATTCGCATACGGGAAAGAAACCAATTTACATTTTATTATGCGGGAAACTAATTTTAAACATGGTCGGAAATATTCTTAAAATGCTAAAGTGGCTAGGTTATTTGAAATTGTTAGTAATTGATTAAAACATTGTTCATAAGAAATATTGTCATTTTAATACCCAAATGTGAATTTTATAATTTGCAAATTTTATAATTTTTATTGCTCTGAGATGAAAATTTTATATGGCAAAAAGATTACTGAATTTTTGTGTTGGTAGGGCGTGGCACAAACGTCCAACTTGACTATAACTAGTAATACCGTGGAAACCAAACCAACTACATCTAGGTTGGTTTGGTTTCCACCATCTCCATCTAAGTTTGCCCAAACAATTATCAACCTATATATGTTCAGTAAAATTCCCAGCTAGTTAGTCATTGTGAAAATAAGTTTTTTTACTATTTTACTATTTGTGTGTGTAAAATTTTGAACTTTATCTGTCCCTTTTTACCTCTTAGGCTGGGTAAGAGAAAGACTTCCAGGGAGCAAAAAGGTCCACAGTTATTTATGTAAACTATTGCTAATTGCGTGATTCATTTAAAATAAAAAGTATAACATTTTGCTAGATTGATAATATTATTTACGATTTTAGTTTTATAAACTAATTAACTTCCCGTAGGGTAAGCTATTGTAATGGGCCGAAAATCGAAATTCAAAATTTTTACATTTATCGACGTTTTGAAGGTGTCTGAACGTTTTGGCATACCTCAGAAAAAATGGATGTGTGTGTGTATGTATGGATTAATGAACTTAAACAAATAATTTTAAATTTGCAATTCAGTTGAGATAATTCTTATATATATTAGACAATGTTACAATATATATAATAATCTATTTGAAAACATTCAGTATTCCCCGAACATTTCGTTACGGTACGAGAAGTTCCAGCAATTTGCCTTAAGGCGCGATGCCATACACCCCACTAGTTTTAATATAATTTTTTGGTCATAAATATTATCTACCCTTCGAAGATATCGAGTGTCTTTCTTCTGAACTACTAAAACAAACATAAAAAACTTTGTTACGTACATTGTTTGTTTTAAACATTTGTAGACTTTTCCATTTTTTCTTAAATATTAAATATATTAAAAATATTTTTTTCAAATGTGTAATAATTAAAAAAATGTACAAATATATAAAAATATTATTACAAATGTAATGGGGAGCAAAGGGCTTGTTGTAAAAGTTTTTTTTTATTGAATTATACAGCTTGAGATCCACTTATTATATTTCTACGAAATAAAAGTAGGTAGATGCTTTAATTATTTCTCTACCAAATCAAAATTATTATTTGTTATTTCACAATTAATCATTTTCTAGAAATTGTGGGATGCTACAACTTACACCGTGCTTGCGAAACATCTACCAGTGCCAGTAGTGATGACAATAATATACCTAATAATTTATCCCTTACTTATTTTTAAGCCAATGTACTTGTTTCTAAGTAATTCTATTCATAAATCAACGAAAACTTTGATTAAAACAAATAAAAGATAATCCTGTAGCACAATTTACGTGTGTTCACATTTTAGCATCTATAAATCCCACCAAATCACCTTCACCTGCTGTAACTGTATTTATGACATTTGTGTTTTACAATTAGCTTCAAGGTTTGTTTCAACTAATCCCAAATGTAATTTTTTACAATAATCAACATCATCATTTAAACAATTTAGCAATCATGAAGTTGTTATACATATCAAAGATAGATAAAGAAACGAAATAAGATCTATATAATTGAAAATAAATCGTTAATAATAAAACAATCCGAAATTTTATGATAAGTCAATTTTACAAAACGAAGTACCTGCACGTTACTATTTACTGAATCGATCTGCTAGACATTAGATATGATAATATAATGAGGGCGGTTTTTATGTCTTAATTTTTACCATAACAATCTCCATTTATATTTAATAAAAGCCATAT